GATGACATAATATTGTATATAAAAAAATAAAAAAAGTGCATCAAAAAACAGACTTCATAAATGAATTTGGCATTGTATCTGGATACCAAATTAGCACCAAGAAATCTATGGCCTTTCTATACACTAATAATGAACTTACAGAAAGAGAGACTAAAAAGGCAATCCCATTTACCATTGTACCAAAAAATTTAGAAACTAGGAATAAACTTAACTAAAGAGGTAAAAGATCTATATGGGGAAAACTACATGACACTGAAAAAAGAGATAGAGGAAGATGTAAACAGATGGAAGAAAATACCATGTCAGTGGATTGGTAGAATCAACATCGTTAAAATGTCCATACTACCCAAAGCAATCTATAGATTCAATGCACTCCCCATGGCATATTACACAGACCTAGAAAGAACTCTTCAAAAAAAATCATGTGGAATAAAAAAAAGACCCCAAATAGCCACAGCAATCCTAACAAAGAAGAATAAAGTAGGTAGGATCTCAATACCAGATTTCAAGCTGCATTATTGGCTTTGTAATATAGCTTGAAATCTGGTATTGAGATCCCACCTACTTTATTAAACAGCCTAGTACTGGCATAAGAACAGACATATAGACCAATGGAATAGAAGATAGAGTAGGGGTGTCGAACTCAATCAGAGAAGGGGCCAAAATCTAAAATCCAGCCTAAATCGCGGGCCGAATGGTTTACTGAACAGTCATAAACTGTCATTGTGATGGAAACGCAGCAGAGTGCAGTGATGACAGCGCAGTGCGGGCCACATTGCAAGGCCTGGTGGGACGGATTTGGCCCACGGGCCTTGTGTTTGACACATGTGAGATAGAGAATCCAAATATCGACCCAAAAGACTATACTCAATATTTGACAAAGTAGGCATGAACATACAATGGAGTCAAGGCAGTCTCTTCAATAAATGGTGTTGGGAAAATTGGACAGATACATGCAAAAAATGAAACTAGACTACCAACTTACACCATACACAAAAATAAACTAAAAATGGATATAGGACTTAAACATAAAATGGGAAACCATAAAAATACTAGAGGAATCCACAGGCAGCAAAATCTCAGATATGCTGAAAGAATTTCTTCACTGATACTGCTCCTAGGGCAATGGAAACTAAAGAGAAAATAAGCAAATGGGACTACATCAAAATAAAAAACTTTTTACAGTAAAAGTAACCATCAACAAAACAACAAGAAAGCCCACTGTATGGGAGAACATATTTGCAAATGTTATCACTGATAGAGGTTTAATTTCCAACATCTACAGGCAGCTTATACAACTTAATAAAAGGAAGATACATGATCCAATAAAAAAAAAATGGGCAAGAGACCCAAATAGAATCTTTTTGAAAGAAGACAGAAGGAAGGCCAAGAGGCACATGAAAACATGCTCAAAGTCACTCATTATCTGAGAGATGGAAATCAAAACTACAATGCGTTGCCATCTCACACCTGTCATAATGGCTATCATCAACAAATCAACAAATGACAAGTGTTGGCAAGGATGCCAAGAAAAAGGAACCCTTGTGCACTGCTGGTGGGAATGCAGACTGATACAGCCACTGTGGAAAACAGTATAGCGTTTCCTCCAAAAACTAAAAATGGAACTACCATTTGATCCTGTAATCTCACTCCTTGGAATATATTCTAAGAAACTTGAAACACCAATCAGAAAGTATACAGGCACCCCTATGTTCATAGCAGCACAATTTACAATAGCTAATATTTGGAAACAGTCTAGGTGCCCGTCAGTAGATAATTTGATCAGAAAACCATGGTACATCTACACAATGGAATACTATGCTGCCATAAAAAGAAGGAATTCTTCCCATTTACAGCAACCTAGATGGAACTGCAGAGCATTATGCTAAGTAAAATAAGCCATTCAGTGAAAGAAAAATACCACATGATCTCACTCATTAAAACATTATAAACTGATGAACAAAAAGATAGATATAGAGGCAGTAAAGCATCAGTCTGTCAAATTATAGTGGCAAGTTTAGGGAGAGGTGGCGGAGATAAGAGATCAACTGACGGACTTGTATGCATGCATATAAACATAACCAATGGATGCAAAACACTAGGGGGTGTGGGCATGTGTGGTAGTGAGGCAATGGTAAGTTATGCACACATATAATATCTTAATAAATGAAAATGGGGGAAAATAAAATAAAATATGTAAGCAAATAAGTTTGGATGGTTTCCAATAAAACTTTCTTTACAGAAACAGATGGCAGGCCTTTTTTGCTAACTCTTGATTTATATCCTTATTCTCAAGCACCAACTATATGTCAAATACCTAGTAAGCATTGAGGGAGCAAAGTAAACCCGATCCAGTATTTATCCTGAAAAAGCTCTCATAAAATAGGTAATCAAAATGCAGGGTTATATTGCTTCATAGAGTCATGGAGTGTGTTAGCTGTGTGACAATGCAGACCCCTGTAGTTGTGTGTTATAATGATGGCTCTACTTCTATCTTAGGAAGAGTCTTTTTGGTCCAATGAATCTTATCAAATTTGTTGATAAAGATTTCACCTCATATATTATTTTGTTAATCTTAATTATTTCACAAAACTTTTATAAAATGATGATTAGAACAAATTGGTTTATGTAAAAATGGGATTTCTTTCATTGTTGTGCCCATTCTTAGTTCCCCTATAGGAAAATTCAGCTTTGTAGCATTCCCTTTTTTCAGTGGATTTCCTATAAACACTAGGTCAATGAGAAAACCAAAGGAGGAGCACTGTGGTCTGGCCTGTATAATGGGAATCTGAGCCCTACTTTTTCACTCTGTAATTGTGTGCTAGGGAAGATCCCTTTGGACATAAATTTGCAATGTGCATCTACTTGCTTTTTACTTAAATTTTCTGTGTTTCAGTTTCATACTGTGCAATGTTGGTTGGAGTGGACTAGTGGATCTCAAAGTTCTTCTTTATTTTAGTTATGCTTAGAGATTAAGACTGGTTCTTCTCAGGGCATGTTCTTTTTTGGGTTATACTTAGGGCAAAACCCAAGGGGAAGGGCTCTGGCCAGATTGAAAAGTGGGGAATGTTAAGAATTATGAGTTCTGAATGCCCAAGTCCTCTTTGATTTAGGAAGTCTTTTTGTAAAAGGGTTATCATGTATAGTGGTTATCTCCCATCAATTCGCCTCCCCCACTTTGGACCCTGGAACTAATAATATGTCCAGATGCCTTTTTTTAGGAGTCTAATTCTGCTCTATTGCTGCCAAAGGAAGTCAGCAGACAGTCAGAAAGGCAGGCAGGCTTGTGTATGGACCATCCTCTGTGTGCATAGCCATGTTCTACCAAGGGAGTATAGTATAATGGTTAAGGGCACGACCTCTGGTGTCACTGTGTGGATTCAAATCCCAACTCTTATTAGTCATGGCTGTGGAGAATCTCTAAGCAAACAATTCAATCTTTCTTCTCCTCAGTTGAACCATCTTTAAAGTGGAGAGGACAGTAGTACCCACCTCATAGGTTGTTGTGAGAACTAAGTAGATAAAGAAAAATTTAGTGCAGTTTTTATTAATGTTATCTGTTATTGTCATCCTGAGTTGTACAGAACTTATGGATGAGGGTGGGAGTGTGGAACAGAGGTGAGGGCTCTTCCTGGACTGGGAGGCAGGATGATTAGGCTTCCTTTCTTGGCCTGCCACTGGGGGCTTGTTGTGTGATCTAAGTCAACTCTGCCCCTTTATGGTCTCAGTTTCCCAAACTTTTTGCTTTTTCTCATTTTTTTTCAAACTTGAGTTTTCTTCTGAGTCAAATAGATTCTGTGCAAGCTGTGCACGTAAACACAGAAATGACACAGAGTAAAGTTAACCTTGAAGATGAGCGTAGAGAAGAAAGAGCAAACAGATCTTGGGGAAGTGAGCTGACCCCTGTCAAAACCACCAAGAAGGCAGAATCTGTATTTGGTGCTCTGGGTTCTGCCCAATTTCCCCTCTTTCTTTCCTTTCCCTTTGCCTATCAATCTGCCTTCTTGACTCTTCCCCTCTTAGCAAACCCTGTTCTTAGGCTATGCAGGGCAGAGGAACAAAGAGCACTGGATGGAGTGATATCCCAGATCTAGTCCCTACTGCTCTGGAAAGCATTATTGGGAACCCCTAATCTTCACTCTGTTCACCTCTTCCCAGCCCCAGCACCTCCTCAGTCTACTGTCCCTGCCTTTTTTCCCTCTCAGATACCACTGCCCTCTATAAGATCACTTATAAGGCTATATAATAATTCTTTTTTACAACCAGTCTCTCCCAGTAACCTGTGAGCTTGGGTGATGAGATATATGTGTCTGTTTCATCTCAGTGGTTCCAGCACCTAGCTGCAGGGTCAGTGCTGAGCAGGTGATCTGAAAAGTGAACTCACAACCAATTGGTTTTCCACATGAATGGAGGAACAAATTAGAAGCATGAACTGGATTTTTACCTGCTGCTCCCTTGGCTTTGTGGCTTAAGCAAGACAGGTGTTTTCTCTAGATCTTCAGTGTCTCCCTCCACGGACCATGAAAGGATCAAAATTATGGACTTCTGAAGTACCTTTTAGCTTTTTCTTCTTTTTTTTGGCTTTAAAAAATGTATATTTGTTCAGTTGTCAGGATCTGATGATAGTAGCTTTAAGTTATGTTCCTCTCAAGTATATTTTCTTTTTAAATAGGAATTGTGGCTTTTCTTAGAACACAAGATAAATTATCATCTCCTCCAATCCAGACCCTAAAGATTTGGTGGCTAAGTGGTGACAAAGTATATTTTATGTTTTTGATTATAGCAAATCTGTAAAGAACCCTGTGTGTGGTTTTGCCTAATATAGCTCTTCTTTCTCCCTCTCCCTCTCCCTTTCACCTTTCTTTCTCTCTTCCTCTCTCCCCCCTTTCTCTTTCTCACGTTTCTTCAGCTTGAAATCAGTGACCAGGCCTTCCTCTGTGCCTTAGTGGCCCCATCACTTGCTGTGACCATGGAAGCTCTCACCAACTGCCAGACTGCCTCCTTCTCTGAGCTGGTGCCCAAGGGTTACCTGACTCAGATCCTCCAAAGCTGCCCTGAGGTAGAAGGCCTGGCTGGGGATGTGGAGCTGGAGGATTCTGAACAGTATGACATGAGTCCCAGGGATGAGAGTGGTCAAGACAAAAAGAAAAACAAAGTCAGCAAGATCTGGAATTTTGTGAGTCGCAGAAAAGGGCCTTCCTGTCAGGGGAAGCGACCCCAGTCCATGATTTTATTGAGAGACACTTCTAAGTCATCAGAGTTGAAACCTAAAGTCACGTTAATGGATCGGATGAAGTCTGTTAAGAGATTGAAGCCTTCAATTGGGTCCTCTAAAAATACTGCTCCTAGGAGTAGCAAGCCCCAGGAACCCCAGGAGTCCTCAAGTAGTTATAATGTGAGGAAGGCTGAGCAGACCCCAAAGCCCCTCCGCCATTCCTATGCAGGCCACATTGAGGTCCTGGAGCCCTTCCTTCCGGAGGTACAGAGGCTTGTACACACTCCCAATAGGGAAAACCAGAAAGTGTGGACCTTCAAAGACTCTGGTATTCAAGTGGAAGAAGATCCTTGTGAGAAAGAGGCTCCTGAGCAGCCTAGCAGCAGAAGCGGCAGGTGGACTAGGAGCTACCTGAAAAACATGTTCCCTGGGGACCGTGAGGCTCTACAAATATCAGCCAGAAACTCCAGAATTCAGGAACTCAAGGTCACCATAAAGGGCTCCAAGTTGGAAGGGAACGTGGAAGGAGGCTACGAGGAAAGTCCTGGGCACCTGCGCCGAGACAAGGCTGCACCTTTTGGTGGTGTTGTCAAGTTTTTCAGCAATATGGCTGAGGTGGCCCGCAAATGGCGGGCATTCTCCCGGGAAGAGTCCCAGATGGGCTCCCAACGTCGCTGCCACCAACGCCACGAGGCCTACTTGGTCCATGATGGCCAAGGCTTCATCTTGAAGCGTGCTGCTTCCCAGGACTACTCCAAGGTCAACTTGCCCTTCAGACCCCCTGATGCTGCACCATGTGGCAGTGCCATTGGAAGGCAGCAGCACGGCCACCTCAATGCCTCACAGGCCTCATGTACTTTTCAAATGAACATTGAAGGCAAGAAGATGCCAGGTCAAGCTTTGAAAGATCCCTGTTCTACTGCTGCCTTGGCTTGGATGTTAACCTCCACTGCCTTTGAATTCCAGAATGATCCCACGTCACAGAAAGGCTACAGCTGCCATGACAACTGTGCCTTCACCAGGGAGCACTGCTCCTCTGAAGAGCTTGAGGAAGATTCTGAGACTGTAGTCAGCTTCCTCAAAAAAGATGACAATGCTGGAGAGTCCCCTCAGCTCAGCACCTGCTCCAGGAGGACTGCCACTCAAGCTGTTGTGGAGAAGCTAGAGGAGAACCTCAGCAAGATGGAAGAGCAAGAGGCCAGAAGGGGCCCTACAAGGTCCAGTCAGGCAGGGAAGCCCCACAAGTCTGATTTGGGTATGGATTCAGCAGATACAGAAAGTGAAGCCAGCAAGGCCTGCTCTGGAGTTCCCAATATTCAGGTAAGAGGGGACTTGTCTTTTCAGATCACCATTTGAAACATTCAGTATCCCAGAAGTCAACTAAACTTCCGTGCCCTCCCCACAACCTCACCTTTTGCCAGGAATATTCTGGAAGGAATGCTCCTATCAGTCATTGACTGATCCTAAACCCCAGGGCAACTTTTGTCCCCTTTTTGGCTCAATTCCTGCACTTGCACCTCAATTCAGCCTTGAATCAAAACTGTAGCTCTGGGAATGGCAGCAAAATGACCAGGGTCATTTAATGACACTCAAGACAGCCATGCTCTCCTGTGAGACATTTCCCCTCTTTGCCACCTTCCCCTCTCCCACCAACAGTAGCTGAATTCATAAATTCGTATCAAGGAAAGCCTCAGAGCTGAGTGTCAGATGACCTGGATTTGTGTCCCAATACTGTGCCTGACTATCTGTAGGACACTGAGACAAATCCTGCCATCTTGCTGGACCTCAGTTTCTCTATGGAGAGAAGGAGGCTATCTTGGTGTCTCAAAGATCTCTAATATCTTCTTGTAACAATACTTTGTTATTTACCTGAAGAATATAGACAGACAGCCCAATAACATTCTTCTCCCAGCATTCATTGAGTGGTAGCTTTATATACATCCTCTTACAGGTGCTGTCACATATATTATTTTAATTTAATTTTTAAAGTAACTTTGTCAGGTGAAAGTGGTTTTCCTTATTTTATCAATGAAATCATAGAGATTGCAATAGAATTTGGATTCAAATCACACCTTTGACTTCAAGTCTAGTGCTTTAGTCTAGCTGTCTATAGTTTTCAGTGTCTCATTATAGTGGTGACAAACAGGGGCTCACCACACCATAGACAAAGAAAAATGTGCTAGAATTGTAGTATGAAGAATGTTAAATAAACACTAGAAGGGGTTATTTGGCTTTGAGACTTAAGAATGTCTTTATAAGGGGTATGTTATAGTTTCTCCAGTAATTTTAAGGCAAAACATTTTAAGGGTAGTTAATTAAAATGTTCCTTCTTGGTTGTTGTTGTGGTGTTGTTGTGGTGTTGAGGTAGTCTAGTTTGACAGTTCTTAATCTGTCCTGTCATCCCTCACATTCTACTTTCAGAGAACTTGGCCCATCAGGACAGAAGCAATAAGACTGTCTTTTCTGAGAAGGACATTAATATGTTTATAAGCATTCTCTTCTTAAGTGTATCATTTTTTGTAAGCTTTAAGGACATAAACATTGGCATAATACTGGGATTAAATTTCATTTCAGTGGTTTTAAGACCAACAATCAATCAAGCAAAGGTACCTAATTATTCCATTAGCTAATAATTACAATTGGGTACTGCATATCCAAGGTTACCAGTCACTAGGAAGAGGTTCACAGATGAATACATATCCTTGCTACAGAGCTGTGTGGAATGGGCATGGAGGTACCTTGTGGTGTATTCTTCAAAGGCTTGTGTGTGACTTTCTTTTTTATCTATAAAATGAGACAAAACACTGCCTACGTAAGAGGGCTGTTGTGGGGAATCGAAGGAGCCAGAGTGTATAAGGTACCTGGCCTAGCACTATTCATGACACATAGTTGTAGCAGTTGTCATTATTATTGAAATTTGGTAAATTATTAAAAACTGTGACAACGTGCATCCAGAGAAACAACCCAAGACAGCACTGTAGCAGCAACTAGTTAATGGGGTAGAAGAGCCATGTGTGAGGTCAGAGAACTGGCTTCTAGTGTCATTTCTACCCCCTACTTGTTTTGTGACCTTTAGAGAGGTCCTTCCCCTCTCTGAGCTTCAGTTTCTCCATTTGAACCAGAGATTGCATGGTTAATTCCCAATTATCTTTTTTTTTTTTTCCTTTCTCTAGTTCTTTCCTCCCAGCTTAGCCTATAATTGTTTCCCTGAGTCCAGTGAGAGACACCCAGTGGCTAGTTTATAAGGCCTCTCCTTGGCAAGCTTCTTGTGCCCTTTGCTGAATGCTAGAAGATGCTGGTTATCTTTTTTTGGGGTGTTAAACACCAGCCCAGACAAGCACTGGGGTCCATGGAAAAAGCAAAGTGGAGTAGGAAAGCTCAATTTCAGGGGACATTGATATAGGTCAGAGATCCTGTTGACCACCTGGTCCAATCACTTTATTTTCCAGATGATGAGGACACTGAGTCCCACAGAAGGGAAAGGATTTCCCCTGACAAACAAGAAAGTGAAAGTCAAGTAGGTACCCAGAGATTTTTGATAAATCACTTTCAAGTACTTTCAGAGTTCCAGTCTTGGCTCTGCCACAAATGCTAATGACAAACCTTCTCCTTTCGGATTTTTGCAGCCTTCTCTGATAACTGGAAATCCTCATTCTTCCCTCAAATACCTGGTAGATCTATTATAAGGCTAAACTGAGATAATGGATATGAAAGCAGTGCATTCTGTAAGTAGAAAAGGCCACAAGTTTGCAATGAATCATATGCAAATAGAGATGAAAAACTTGGTCCTTGGTATTTCCTAGAGAAACTGGACTTTGGTCAGCTTCCTCCAAGGTGCTTTATTTTTGAAGTGTATTTACTCAACCGTCCAGAGCTAAGTGGCTCCAAAAACTCTTGCTGCTTTGGCACAGAATTGATTGTGGCCTAGCCTAAGGCTGCTCTTGTAGCCCAGGAGGGGGTGCAGCTTCAAGGGTAAGATGTCAGAAGGCAGGGATATGGTCTCTTCCGAAACCTTCATTTGGGGGATTTTTCAAGGGTTAGTGGGGACTAAAACTTCTCTGTGCCTCACTCCTTGCATTAAGAAAATGAGGGGAGTAATATTAATAATTCTAGCTAACATTTATATAGTGCTTATTATGTGCTGAGATGCTCTCAGCATTATACCCAAATGAAATTATTTTGTCTCATAATTACCCAATGAAGTTAGGGACTATCTTTAAAATGAGTGCGATAATAATACCCACCTTACAGGGTTGTTGCAAAGATGAAATGAGTAAATACACTTAACTACTGTTATAAGTTTCTGACTAAGAGTCATGGTACAACAAATGTTAGCTATTTTCATTAGTTATTAAAAGCACTTGTCACAGGAAGGGACTGTACCTCAAAACTCTCACTTTAGTGAGAATTAGTAAAATACAAATTGAGGTAGAAAGGGGAATATCATAGGCATTCTTTAGATTTGTACAAGATATTATTCTTTACAGAGTGCTTTTCCAGATATAAATGGATTTTCAAAATTTCTCTAATTTAACTGTCATTATTATTATTGCTATTCTGGTGTGACAGATGAGGGACTGGAGGCACTATATATGAGGAACAAAACATTGAAGTTGGAATCAAAATGCCCATTTTGAAGGTTCTGGTTCTTTCACGTTATTGGATATGAGATTTTTGATAAGTCATTTTCAAGCACTTTGATTCTTGCTTTCCTTCATTTGTCAACTGGAAATAGGAAGTCTTCTCTGATTTCTTCATAGAGTAGAAAGAAAATATAGATATATATTGAATACTCACTATGTGCTTTTAATTACACTTGATGCCCTCGGTGTCTCTGATGTATTAATCTCATAACCACTATCCTATTGTATTATGCTTCTGCCTACAAGTGATACTCATAACCATACTTAGAAGCAGCTTGGCAGTTACCTGTTTTCAGCATTTTACAGATGAAAAGACTGAGCCTTATTTGCGGATACAAAGGGAGTCAGCGGTAGGTGCAGAATCAGGACACAGGGATCCTTTGCCAGTGCTGGATCTACATACACTTCCTCTCACTCCATTCTAGAATCTATTGAGAATTATTGAACCCAATTTCCTCTGTTACTTAGCTGCTGTACATTTCAAAGCTGTTTGCACAACCTATGGGCTGTGAAGGAAACTACAGTCAAATTTTCAGCTATGTTGGCCTCTCTTCTCTGTACCTGCCCCCCCCCCCATGAATCTGTACACAAACTATGGGTTCAGCTTCTCCTTCCTAGAAGAATGTAAGGGAGGAATAGGTGGGGCACTCCCTGAGTGAGCAAGGTTGTCACCCTGCTGTGGGTTCTGTTGTCCAGATCCTCAAAAACACTGGACAAAGAAGAAACTCCAAAGTGGGTACTATATCAAGGTGTTTCTGGACACACCAAATTGTGAACTCGATGCTACAGGAGCTCTAATATGGGCAGCCAGGTCGTATCAATAGATTTTCTTTATAGATATTATGGCTACAGAATTGTAACCTTAGTTCCAGATGGGCCTTAGCTAAAGTGCAAATGGTGTCTTCTACCTTTGTTTTTTACCTCTTCCAGTTCTGGGGGGTACCTGCCACTGTCATCTAAGCTTTAAGCTGCTTAGTTATGGTCCTGTCCCAAGCTGCAGTTACTTTCTGTATTGGAAAAAATTGTGTCCAACAAAATATCTCTTCAAGTCCTTAACCTCAGTTCCTGTGAAATTGACTTTATTTGAAAATAGAGTCTCTGCAGATGCAATCAAGTTAAAATGACATCATACTGTATTAAGGTGGGCTCTAATACAACAACAGATATCTTTATCAGAAAAGGAAAATTTGGACACAGACAATGATACAGGGTCTCAGTTCCTTTCCCCCCATAACTTTTATTGTGTATAAGGATGAACAAACTTTGGTAGTTGTTCTCTGCTCTTGGAAATTGAGTTAGCAAATGGGCAGAGATCCTTCCCTTGGGTCATTCAAACTTTTAACTGTTTCTTACATCCAGTCATTTAAGTGATGAATGATTCAGGTGAAAGAAACCTGTACTGCATTCATAGTGGCTTAGCAATGTTAAAGAGGAATTTGAAGGATGAAGGGGCCCAAGAATTACTTTTATATTTTTATAAATACAACAGGGCTGTAGTCATATAGACCTAACATTTACAAGTTGTGTCACCTCTGGAAATTGATTTATCTGTTCTGAGCCATGGTTTCTTCACTGTTAAATGGGACACTATCTACCTTATAGAGTAGTTGTAAATACTAAATGAGATAGCATGAATAAGTATACTTAGCAGGATATCTAACACATATGAGGTATTTCACAGATGTTAGTTCCTTTTATCTCTTTCCATTTGGTGATCAAGATTTTGGAAAAGAAAGAAGGATTTGGGATGAAAACAGCTATCTATGTTAATATAAAAAAAGAGAAGTTGTATGTGGTCTTAAGATGTTCTTATGGCAAGTTAAGATGTTCTCTCTCTCTCTCTTTCTCTCTCTCTCTCTCTCTCTCTCTTTCTCTCGCTCTCTCCTCTTTTCTCTCTTCTCTCTCACTTTTTTTTTGTACTTACTGTGGGCTTTATGGGTATTATTCTCATTTCCTCATCCTAGCAACTCTGCACAGTAGGTATTATCACTACCCCTTTTATGCAGATGAGGAAATTAAGACTCAGACAAATTAATTAATTTCCCCCAGGTCTCACATTGAGTAAAGGTTCATGTCTATAGCAAATGCAGAATCCTCACTTTCCAAATCCCAGTACAAACTAAATACATAAAAAATACCCCAAAAGGGAGAAACAAATAAATGGTATTTCTTTAAGTTGATTGACTAATTTTCATATTCTCTACTGCCTGGTGTCTTTTAGGCTCTGGGTAGTTGGATGTTTACTTGGATTTGGGTGCTGGAACAGATGATACTTCAAAATGGAAAGTTCTGCTCTTTAAACCAAGTGTTAGCCTACTCCCAACCCCCATTGAATTACTAATCCTGATTAATTTTCTTTGCAGGCTTTCTTACCCCCAGATGAACCATCACCAAAAAATCTACCCCTCAAAGTCCTCCTGGCAAAATGTCAATCTCTGCCTATCTCATGGAATGTTCCTTTGGAGTTGGATCAGATGTACTGGAGGAGACCCAAGAAGCTTTGCACAGGTATTCATTTTCAAAATTTTTAAAATTAAATTATTATCTTTGTACACATACCATTGCCACCCCTCCCCATACATGCCCTCCCTCCCCAGAGTTTTGTGTCCATTGTTTGTACTTATATGCATGTATACAACTCCTTTGGTTGATCTCTTATGTCCCCCAGATCTCCCCAGCCTCCTCACTGTAATTTGACAGTCTGCCTGTTGCTTTACTGTCTCTATATCTATCTTTTGGTTCTTCAGTTTAAAATGTTCTTTATCATCCATAAATAAGTGAGGTCATGTGGTGTTTCTCTTTCATTGACTGGCTTGTTTCACTCAGTATGATGTTCTACAATTCCATCCAGGTTGCTGCAAATGATGAGAATTTCTTCTTTTTTATGGCAGCATAATATTCCATTGTGTAGATGTACCATGGTTTTTTGATCCAATCATCTGCTGATGGGCACCTAGGCTGTTCCCAAATCCTAGCTATTGTAAATTGTGCTGCTATGAACATAGGGGTGCATATATCCTTTCTGATTGGTGTTTCTAGTTTCTTGGGATATATTCCTAGGAGTGGGATTACTGGATCAAATGGGAGTTCCATTTTCAGTTTTTTGAGGAAGCTCCATACTGTTCTCCACAGTGGTTGCACCAGTCTGCATTCCCACCAGCAGTGCACAAGGGTTCCTTTTTCTCCGCAACCTTGCCAACACTTGTCGTTTGTTAATTTGTTGATGTTGGCCATTCTGAGAGGTGTGAGATAGTACCGCATTGTTGTTTTGATTTGCATCTCTTGGATAATTAGTGACTTTGAGCATGTTTTCATGTGCCTCTTGGCCTTGCTTCTTTTGAGAAGATTCTATTTAGATCCATTGCCCATTTTTTTTAAATTGGGTCATTTATCTTCCTTTTATTAAGTTGTATAAGCTGTCTGTAGATGTTGGAGATTAAACCTTTATCAGTGATAACATTTGCAAATATGTTCTCCCACACAGTGGGCTTTCTTGTTGTTTTGTTGATGGTTTCTTTTGCTGTAAAAAAGCTTTTTATTTTGATGTAGTCCCATTTGTTTATTTTCTCTTTAGCTTCCATTGCCCTAGGGGCAGTATCAGTGAAGAATTTCTTTTGGCATATGTCTGAGATTTTGCTGCCTGTGGATGCCTCTAGTATTTTTATGGTTTCCTGTCTTATGTTTAAGTCCTGTATCCATTTTGAGTTTATTTTTGTGTATGGTGTAAGTTGGTGATCTAGTTTCATTCTTTTGCAAGTATCTGTCCAATTTTCCCAACACCATTTATTGAAGAGACTGTCTTGACTCCATTGTATATTCGTGCCTCCTTTGTCAAATATTAACTGAACATAGTGATTTGGGTTGATATCTGGGTTCTCAATTCTATTCCATTGATCTATATGTCTGTTCTTGTGCCAGTACCAGGCTGTTTTGAGAACAGTGGCTTTGTAATATAGCTTGAAATCTGGTATTGAGATCCCTCCTACTTTACTCTTCTTTCTCAGGATTGCTGTGGCTATTTGGAGTCTTTTGTTGTTCCAAATGAACTTTTGAAGAGTTTTTTGTAGGTCAGTGAAATATGCCATTTGTATTTTAATGGGGAGTGCACTGAACCTATAGATTGCTTTGGGAAGTATGGACATTTTGATGATGTTGATTCTACCAATCCATGAACATGGTATGTTCTTCCATCTGTTTAAGTCTTCCTCTATCTCTTTTTTCAATGTCGTGTAGTTTTCCGTGTATAGGTCTTTTACCTCTTTAGTTAAGTTTATTCCAAGGTATCTTAATTTTTTTGATGCGATGATAAATGGGATTGCCTTTTTAGTCTCTGTTTCTGCAAGTTCACTGTTGGTGTATAGAAATGCCACAGATTTCTTGGGGTTAGTTTTGTATTGTGCTACATTGCCAAATTCATTTATTAAGTCAATTAGTTTTTTGACGGAGTCTTTTGGTTTTTTTATGTACAACATCATGTCATCTGCAAATAAGTATAACTTTACTTCTTCTTTTCCAATTTGGATGCCTTTTATTTCCTCTTTTTGTCTAATTGCAATGGCTAGTACTTCCAGTACTATGTCAAAGAGGAGTGGTGAGAGTGGGCATCCCTGTCTTGTTCCTGTTCTTAGAGGGAATGGTTGTAGTTTTTGCCCACTGAGTATGATGTATGCTGTGGGTTTATCATATATACCTTTTATTATGTTGAGGTATGATCCTTGTACTCCCACCTTGTTGAGAGTTTTTATCAGGAAAGGGTGTTGGATTTTATCAAATGCTTTTTCTGCATCAATTGATACGACTATATGATTTTTATCTTTCAATTTGTTTATGTGATGTATCATATTTATTGATTTTCAGATATTGTGCCATCCTTGCATTCCCAGAATAAATCCTACTTGGTCTTGGTGTATGATCTTTGTGATGTACTGCTGGAGCTGATTTGCTAGAATTTTGTTGAGGATTTTGGCATCTATGTTCATAAGGGATATTGGCCTGTAATTCTCTTTCATTGAGTTGTCTTTATCTGGTTTTGGTATTAGGGTGATGCTGGCTTCATAGAAGGAGTTTGGAAGTGTTCCTTCCTCTTAAATTTTTTGGAATAGTTTGAGGAGGATAGGTTTTAGTTGTTCCTTGAATGTTTGGTAAAACTCTCCTGTGAAGCCATCTGGCCCTGGGCTTTTGTTTGCTGGAAGCTTTTTGATGACTGTTTCAATTTCTTCCCAAGTCACTGGTCTATTGAGGTTTTTAGATTCTTCCTGATTGAATTTTGGAAGATTGTATTTTTCTAGGAATTTGTCCATTTCCTCCAGGTTGTCCAGTTTGTTGGAATAGAGTTGTTCATAATATTTTGTTACAATCCTTTGTATTTCGACGGGGTCTGTTGTTATTTCACCTCTTTCATTTCTGATTTTGTTTATTTGGGTCCTTTCTCTTTGTTTCTTGGTTAGCCTGGCTAGAGGTTCATCACTCTTGTTTATCCTTTCAAAGAACCAGCTCTTGGTTTTGTTGATCTTATGTATTGTTTCTTTGATCTCTATGTCGTTTATCTCTGCTCTAATTTTTGTTATTTCCTTTCTTCTGCTTACACTGGGGTTTTCTTGTTGCTCTTTTTCTAAATCTTTCAGTTGTAGAGTTAGATAATTTGTTACCATTTTTTCTTATTTTTTGCAATAGGTTTGTAGGGATATGAACTTCCCTCTCAAAACTTCTTTTGCTGTGTCCCATAGATTTTGGATTGTTGTGTTTTCATTGTCATTTATTTCCAGGATATTTTTAATTTCTTCCTTAATTTCTCTGGTAACCCAGTCTTGTTTAATAGCATGCTGTCTAATCTCCATGTGTTTGATTTATTTGGATTATTTTTATTGTAGTTAATTTCCAGTTTTATGCCACTGTGATCTGAGAAGATACTTGATATGATTTCTATCTTCTTAAATTTGAAGAGACTTTGCATATGTCCCAACATGTGGTCTATCTTTGAGAATGTCCCATGTGCACTTGAGAAGAATGTATATTCTGTGGCTTTGGGGTGGAATGTTCTGAAGATGTCGATTAATTCCATCTGGTCTAGTGAGTCATTTAGGATTGATATTTCTTTGCTGATTTTTTGTTTAGATGATTTGTCCAAAGGTGACAGTGGAGTATTAAAATCACCTGCTATGATTGTATTGCTATTTATATCTCCCTTAATGTCCTCCAGCAGTTTTTTTTTTAATGTATTTGGGTGCTCCTGTATTGGGTGCATATATGTTTACCAGGGTTATTTTTTCTTGTTGGTTTGCTCCCTTTAGTATTATGAAGTGGCCTTCATTATCTCTTGTTATGTCCTTCACTCTGAGATCTAATTTGTCACATATAAGTATTGCTACCCCAGCTTTTCTTTCATTTCCATTTGTCTGGAAAATCTTTTTCCATCCCTCCACCCTCAGTCTGTGTGCATCTTTTTTTCTGAAGTGGGTTTCTTGTAGACAACAGATATATGGGTCTTGTTTTCTTATGCAATCCGTTACCCTATGTCTTTTGATTGGAGCATTTAGTCCATTTACATTTAAAGTTATTATTGATATGTACTTATTTGTCACCATGTTTATGCTATACCCCTGTGTTCCTTCTTTGCTTTCTATTTCTTTAATTTTACAGTAGACCCTTTAGCATTTCTTGCATTGCTGGTTTGGTGGAGATAAATTCCCTTAGTCTGTTTTTGTCTGTGAAGCTCCTGAATTCACCTTCAGTTTTGATTGATAGCCTTGCTGGGTACAGTATTCTTGGATTCAGACCCTTCCTTTGCATGACTTTGTATATTTCATCCCATTACCTTCTGGCCTGATAAGTTTCTGTGAATAAATCAGTTGCTAGTCTGATGGGGGTTCCTTCATATGTAACTTTCTGTCTCTCTCTGGCTGCTTTTAAGATTCTTACTTTATTGTTGGTGTTTGCCAGTTTAATTATAATATGCCTTGGCATCGGTCTTCTGGGGTTCATTTTGCTTGGGACTCTGTGAGCATCTTGGATTTGTGTGGGGTTTTTTCTTCTCTATCTCAGGAAAGTTTTCTGTCATTATTTTTTGAAATACGTTTTCCATGTCTTCCTCAGTTTCCTTTCCTTCTGGAACTCTTATTACTCTAATATTGTTTTGTTTTTATTGTCCCAAAGTTCCCTTAGGCTCTCCTCCTGCTTTTTAATTTTTTTTTTTCTAGAAGCTGCTCTAATTGGGTATTTTTTCCCCCCATCTTGTCTTCTAGCTCACTGATGCGGTGCTCTGCTTCTTCTAGTCTGCTCTTGATGCTTTCTATTGAGTTCTTGATAGTAACGATGTCATTTTTCATTTCTTCTTGAGTCATCTTCATTTCCTCTTGGTTCTTCTTCATATCTCTTGGGTCTTACTCATATTGTCAAATTTGTCTTTCATTCTTTTATCTTATGATCATTACTCTGAATTCTTGCTCTGGTAGGTTGCTTGCCTTTAACTCGTTTACTTCCTTTTCTGGTGATGCCTGCTTTTCTTTCAT